GATCGATAGCCTTGGTTGTTAGCTGCTCATAACAGTCGGTCTTTTTGTTATGCGCCCCGATTTGACTAAATTACGACATAAAAAAGGCTTAAAAATAACGTATTTTTCCCCAAAAAATAAAACTCCCTATTTTTGAGCAAAAAAAACAGTATTTTGGTCGTCAAATTGCGAAATGAGTTCAGAATAAGGAGTCTGATACCTCGTTGAGCTCGTAACTAAATTCCCAATCGATTGGCACTTGAATCTGAAAACCTAAATTTTTGAAAATTTTTCGCAAAAAAAATATGATACAAGCCCTTATAAAAAATGCGAAAATTGGCCAAAAAATAAATTTCCCAAAAAGAAATTGGGATCGTTAGCCTAGGTTGTTAGTTGCTTAAAACAGTCGGTATTTTAGCTGTGCGCCTCGTTTTGACCAAGTTACAACCTAAAAACCGCGAAAAATAGGGGTACTTTTGTCCCAAATCCTACTACCTATTTTTAGACACAGAAAAGCTAGGTATTTTGGCAATCATTTTGGAAAAAAATGTCAGAATAAGGAATGTTGTTCATCGCTGAGTTCGTAATTAAATTCGTAATCGATTGGCATTCAAATCTGAAAACTTTATTTCTGACCACTTTACGCAAAAAAAAACATGATGCACCCTCTTGTAAAAAATGGGAAAATTAAAAAATGTCATATAAAAAATTCGGAAATTGGTCAAAACATCATCAATAGTGAATTAAAGAACCGCCCTTTTCTCGCAGTGCGAACTCAGTGAAAAAGTGAGGAGCCAGGACCAAGGACTCGCACAAGATGCGTGGCCCGTGTGTGCTGTGTGTTTTTTCGGTGTCGAGCGGCGCCGTGTGGACATGGGTTAAGGGGGCACACAGGGGCTAACACACAGGATTGGGCATTGTTTTGGCCGAAAGTTGACCGAAAACTTGGCATTGTTGGTTGCTCGCTTTTTGGGGCTTGGGACGGACAGGACGGAGGATCCCACAGGACGAAAGGATTGCACTGCACTGCACTGCATTTGCAAGACTGCAGCTTGTTTTTTCCCTTTTTTTTGTTTTTGCCATGGAATTGCAGTTCGCAGGGGCTCACTGGAGGGCGTGTTACTGCATCAATTTATGGTTGAATTTTGGTGTCCACTCCCTTCTTGGACTCTTGATTCCGACTGGTTTGGTTTGTTTGGGGTAAGTGTTCTGGGCATGCCGGAAATAAGTTTGCTGCCCGCAAATTTAGTTGATTTAGGCATTAAAGCGAACACACACGCACACAAAGTCGAGAATCCCGAACTCGAATCCTGGGGCTTCTGTGGTGCCCACTTTGAGCACTTATAAACAATGTATGACTTAATTTGTTCTCAGTTAGCAAATGTTGTTAATTTTCGGCCCTTGTTCCCTGGCAAACGGCTCTGTGGCACCGAGTGGAAAAGATAAATTGATTGCTGAGGTGGGGGATATTAAAACGGGGATTTATTGGCCACTCAAAAGGAGTCCATAGTGGGGGTCTCTTATAGGACATGTGTTTTTGGAGGGGTACTGAAAATTAGTCTTACTAATTGTCTTAGAAAATAATCATAGGCTATAAAGAGATTGTAATTATCATAAATCATATACTTATCCACCGAGGGCTGTACTTTTATATATAGATGTATTATGTCTTCTTAACTCGTTTAATCTTGGCTAATCACAGGATCTGTTGCCCAAAAGTAAATATCCCAAAGAATCCCAGAATCCCAATGACTTTCCTTAACCCCTATTAGCCAGTTTAGCTTCTGTTTTTTTGGACTAGCACTTAATATGCGAAAATTTCGAATGCCATAATAACTACTAACACACACACACACATACTTGACATTGTTGTTGCTGCTGGCTAGAATACCACAGACGGGGTAGCAAAAACCCAAAGTCCAATTAAAATTTAACTACATCAAAGTAGCAGCGCCAGTAGCCCAGCCACCCACATATCGCTATGTCCCGATATGTATACATACATATGGCTATAACATTTAACAAGTTTAGTATTTGGGCTTGCCATTTTTTGCTGCCCATTCTCCGGGCATTTTTCCCTGGGAGTCCAACAGATGGACGTGGCAAACTATGGGTGGAAAGCACAAAAAAAAGAAATCAAAGGGAGGGGGCAAAATGGTCAAAGCCACCCACTCACGCACACAAAATGGGGTTGTTGCCTGGATGGACAAGTATCCATGGGTATCCATGGCATGTCGAAAATTGCGCAGCTTTACGGCAAATGCCGCAAATTGAAACAATTTACATGTCGTACATGTGTTGGCTGCGCGGAGGCAGGGGAATGTGAGGAAGCGAACGCCATCAAAGGGTTAAACTTGCGTGTAACCCCGGGGTCCTCGCTCGTCTATTGATACCCGGTTTTAAAACAGCAACCATGAATTTTGATTTAGCCCCTCCGACCGGCGAGAGTCTGGTGGAAAAATAGCGAGCGAAGGAAAAAAACTGTATCTTTCCAACAACAACGAGGTGACAAACCGCGCGTGTCCGTGTCCTGCGAGTCCTGTGAGTCCTGCGAGTCCTTGCAACCTTTCGGTGACGGCGAGCGCGGATTATGTCGCGTTTGTCGAGCACTTGTCGCTGATTTTTTTCACTCCTCTGGCCACCAATATTTTCCACTTGAGCTGCCACGTTGTTAAATACCCTGCCATTGATTGCAATAAATAAAATCAAGATTCTTGCATATCAATTTTAAACTAGCTCAAAATCTAGCTGCAATAAAAACAAGAAAATATAAAGAGTACCTACTTTACCTTAAATTAAATTAAAATCTAAGAACATTAGTATTTAGTTTGATTTAAACCATCCACTGAGCTTCTTACAACTACCACAGTTAACCAACGAGGCCGCCTCTCTCCGCGCTTCTCAAAGTGCCCAAGTAAAGGGCATCGATTAACCCGCCACAGCTGGCTCCTCAACTTAATTTGAGAGTCCGGTCTGGCCCAGTTTTAACCCCCTCTTACCGCTTATCTCACCTACTTCCTGCAGTTCCTTTTTTTTGCATGCTCCTTTTCGTTTTTATCTCGAGCTCGGTAATAACCTTTATAAAGTAAATTTACAATAAAAGGCAGGCCAACGAAATGAAAGGCAAATGACGTTGGAACTGAAACGGGCACCATTAACCCATGCCGCTGGATTCTCCGATCCCCCATCTGCCTTGGCATTTTCCGCGCTTTTCCCGCCCCATTTCCCATTTCCCAGTGTGTGTGTGTGTTGTCTGGACTCGCGACGACACGTTTGGCTTCCGTTGGATTTCTGCCGCGATTTCCTCTTTGGCATCACGCCTCCTTGTTGTTGTTGTTGCCGCTTGTTAACCCCCAGCCCCATTTTCACATTTCCCCCCGGTTTCCGCCATTTCCCTTTGTGTGACAGTCGACGGTTATTTTGTGCACAGTTTTTTTGTTCGTGCCTTTTCTTCTGTTCGGTGTTAATTTTTTTCCTTTTTGTTCGTTGGCCAAAAGTCAACCCATGAGCTGTGGCATTTTTAAGTAATTTTTATCGGTCAGCAATGTGGGGGGAATTGTGGGGAAGAGGAACCTGCGGGTCTCCCGCGATGGGGGCGATGTTTCAGGCACACTGGAAAATAATGCCAAGGCAATATATCGAACTTATGCAACATAGTTCTGTCGCCTGTTATTTTAATATTTAAAATTCTTCTTAATAATGTTAAGTTCATAACTAATATTGTTAATATTATTATTCTTTTTCCGAAGTCTTTTTATAGAAATGGTTCTTGAAAATGATCAGAAATGAAAATTAAACTCAAATTTCAGAAACATTCAGTAAATTCTATCAAAATCTGTTTAAACTATCCAGGTCAGTTACCATTTTCGGTGGTATCTGCATCTGGTTGCGGATCTGATCCTTGTGATTTTTGGTCGCTGCACGAATGTCGACAAGTGACAAAATATGCAAGTATCAAACCACAAATTCTCACCCGTGAGTCCACAATCATTTTGACACTGGTTACGGTGACGAGTGCTGGGTCCTTCATGCCACATCCTTCGTCCTTCGTCCTTCGCCCATCGTTCTGGATCCCTCGCACATGCCGCACGGCAGCGACTAGATTTGGATAGTGTTGCATGGTCGTCGAGAGTGGTGGCGATGAAGTCCTTTGCCGGAAATTGAAAAGTGCAACGCAAATTGCGTTCCGCCGGGATGTGAATGCCCCATTCCCATCCCGAATTCTGATTCCTATATGCCCAAGCCCCCAAACCCAATCCCCACCAATCCGAGTCCTGCCAGCCGTCTGAAGTCCTTCCCCCGTCGAGTGGTTGACAATTGATTTGTGTTTATGGTGGCCATGCCCATGGACATGCCTGCATCCTGCCCTCCTGCAGTCCTGCAGTCCTTATGCAGTCCAGCCCCATCTCTCCCCGTTTGGGGGACCCATGTAATATGCCATTTTGAGGCCGTGATTTAAAGACATTAACAGGCCGAGGCGAAAAGGGGAAATTTTATGGTGTCGCAGGCGCTAGGTTGCCATTGAATTTGACCACCCTCAGCAGCAGGAGATTGATGGCCTAATCGGGTGCGAAGGCCTCGAACTGGGTGACTCAGTTTGTGGAGGAATACCAGCTAGAAGATACTTTCTCAAACATTTTAAGAGTCATGTTTTCTGGTTAATTTTCAAATACAAAAGAGTGTCTACTTTAATGGAAACATAAATATAAGAAAATATTTACATTATTAGTTTTAAAATGCATTACAATTCTTGATAGGATAGGAATATAAGTAGGCTAGGTAGTTACTATTTGCCGAAAAATATTTAAGTTCAAGATTTTCAATCTTCGATAGTAGTAGTACATACTACTGTCTAATAATTCCCAAATTTAAGTATTGAATAAAGTACAATTTCATTTTTGTATTCCAAGCATATAAAATAGTTATTGTAAAAAAATGCTGCTTAAATTGAATAAAATCCTTTTGCCAACAAATATAAAAGTTATAAATATATTAATCTTTATATATTATACTACTTGCAGGATTTCAGGGAGTCCTGCGTGGTGAATCCTGGATTTTGATTGTTTTCCAAGGCGGTGCGATTAAAGGACGACAAAATTGTGCGGCTAAAAAAAGTGCAGGCTCACGCTCAAGGGCAACTGGAGCAGTTCGAGCAGCAGCAACAGCACCAACAGCAGCAACATCTGCAGCAGCAACAACAGCAGCAGCAGCAGCAGCAACTGTTGCAACAACAACAGCAGCAGCAGCAGCAACACTATCACAACTACAGCGGCAATAGCAACAACTACAAAATGCATTTAACAACAACATCCAGCAACTCAACGGCATCCAATGCCAACAACAATAACAACAATACAACCAACAACAACAACAACACCAGCAGCAACAACAACACAAGCAACACGAATGGCAGCAGCAACAACAACAACACGAGCGGCAACAACAACAACAGCAGCGGGAACAACAACAGCAACACGGAGCAGAACACACCGCCAACGCCCGCGCAACTGTTAAATGAGGCCTACACGAAGATGACCTCTGACATCCTGGCGGAGCGAACGCTGGGCGACTTCCTCACCGAACACCCGGGCGAGCTAATCCGCACCAGCAGTCCGCTCTTCGTCTGCACGGTGCTGCCGCCCCACTGGCGCAGCAACAAGACGCTGCCGGTGGCCTTCAAGGTCGTCTCGCTGGGCGACATCATGGACGGAACGATGGTCACCGTGCGGGCGGGCAACGATGAGAACTACTGTGCGGAGCTGCGCAACTGCACGGCGGTGATGAAGAACCAGGTGGCCAAGTTCAACGACCTGCGGTTCGTCGGCAGGAGCGGCAGAGGTGAGTGTTTTTCAATACTTCCCAATTTCATATTTTACACATTTTAAGAAGCGATGAAAAACAGCGAGAAAGGCACATGGCCACGCGAATTCTTTAGGACTAGCAGTCTTTTCAAAATTTCCCCTTACTTTTTTTTTAATATTTCTCAAGGCGACCGAAACAATATTTGTGTACTCTTAAATTGAATTCTTTAGGGCTAGGAGTATTTTTCTTGGAATATTCAAATTTTTAAATTAATAGTTCTGAGAACTAAGTTGGTATAACTTTGAGAAGCGCATAGAGAGGCAAATAGTTGTTAAAGCCCTTCTATGCGCTTCTCAAAAATTTGAAGTACTATCATAGAAGGCAAAAGTGTTAGGTATGTATTAGCTAATAAATTTTAAATGTTTCTAAGTTTGTTGTTAGTAAACAAATTTCCTGATAATAAATAGAAAATAAATAAATATATTTACTGTAATTTACCTAAGCAAAAATGTTAGGTCTTGGGGGACTCATATTTAAACCGATCGAGTCAAACTCCCCGGGCTGACCCCGGCCATCTTCGGTTAATGTCAGCCCTTGAAAGTTTTCACGCCAAGTGGCGCTTCTTATTGGCCCTTGAAAAGCCCCCACTTTTACCCTGTCGACTGCACTCGAAACAATTTGTTCAATTACCGCCCAAAAGTTTTGCCAGCTCCCCCGGCTCCTTTTTGGCCTTTGTATTATTCGAAAGCACTTTTTGCATTGCTGTCATCCTTTTTTCGGTTCATTTCTCGTTCTTTTTTTGGCACCCAGTCGTATCCCTTTGTATCCTTTCAACCGCTTGTTAAGCGCTGCACAAATTGTCAGCAGTTCATCAGCAGTAACCATCATCATCGTCATCATTTTCATTCACCGAATACCGAATAGAAGCGGATTACTCGGTGCGATGTTCCATTTTTTGTTGTCAGCATTTGTGTGTTGGCTTTGTCTTAAAGTGTTTAATAAACTGTCTGAACGGAAGTGAAGTGAACTGGAGGATATGGTTTTCAGACATTAATGGGGAGTTCTGCCAAGGCTGTTTTTTTCGGTTTTGATTGAGGGGTGTTTATTGAGACTTTTGAAAAGGAGTGCTTTTTTATGGAAATTAGGGTGTGACTTTTTTCTTTCTTTTGGTAACACTAATGCTTCCTGGCTATGATATATTTGGGATTCTTATTTTGGAGTTATTTAGCTCTTAAGGTATCATAGATGCCACGATAAAAACAAGCCATGATAAATCAATCACACAGCCCCATAATTCAATCAGCAATGACTGGCCAAAAAAGATTTCCGCCATGGGCGCAGGATTTTCCTTTTCCCCAAAAGTGGAAGGACTAAGCCCAATTCCGTTGGTCATTTTGGCCTGGTCGGAAATAGGGGGGGATGGGGGGCAGTTACGCATCCGCTGCGGTGGAACCGCAAAAACCAAAGCCTCGACCAGCGAAAGGGGGACATAAGCGGTTTTTCGGGGCGGTTTTCCAAAGGGTGGCGAGGGGGCGGAGGTGAAAATGGGAAATGGAATGGGGGCGTGTCTATGTCTCGTCGAGGATTCATTCATTGTCATCATTCGGACAATGCCAAATGGATGCGTGTCCGTGTCCGCGTCACTCCCTTTCGGGTCTCGGGTCTCCATTCTCCATCTTCCGCTTTTCACTTTAACATTTTCCGCTGCACATTTCCCGCCCTCCATTTTCCTGCATTGAGCCGCCTTAATTGGGAATTTCCCATTCATTTAGGCGGCCTGCGGTGTGCGGAATAAAAGCCAGAAACGCATTTTCCCTCTAGCTTTTTTCCACTTTTGAAAACATTTAGTTTTACATTTCATCTAAAATATATTCACCAACAAAACTTTAATTACCACTTGACCTAAAAGATATGTAAAGGCTAAACCTTTTCTCCAAAAAAGTATCCACTTGTGAAAACAAATGTCAAGGCTTGTTTTACGTAGCTGCTGTTAAGGGGGTTAGCCCCCATGTGCCCGTAATGTTTCACTTAACCCATCACAGCCAAATTATGATAACTGAAAATGTTTACAATTGTCTGCCTGTTGCTTGGCCCGAAAATATCCCAAGGTCTTTGGGGAAAATCTCCACCCTTGGCTCGCACAATTACCAACATTTGAAGGCGAAAACAAAGCCCCATCGAGTAGAAAAATTGAAGAGAGCTGAACAGGCGAAGCCAAAAGCAAATTGTGCACAATTTGGCATGACTTCCCATGACCTCCCATCCCCCGGGGCTTTTCCACTTGTTTTCCCATTTTCACAGATCCACAGGCGTGTCCTTTTCACAGGACAAGGTGTCAGTTGCTGGCAGAAAGTTGCCTTTTTTCCTTGCCTTTTTAACGCCTCGACTTTTGCTAGGCATTTATCTTTGAGGGGGTCTTTTTGTTTTTTCTTGTTTATTTGTTAGGGGTGGCTGTCTCTTTTGTCGCCGAAGATTTTGGGGAATGTTTGGGCTTGGGATTTCTGTTCTGGGAGTTCTTGGCTCAGTTCATTTTGCGGCTGTTTTTCGGCCGTATTAAATGGCTCGAGAGTTGTGTGTAAATAAAAACCTCAAAGGGGAAGGGCCCTCGATTAAGGGTAAGCTTTTTCCTGGGGGTTAAGGTTGTGGAGTATCGTAACTGGCGGAAACTGGCACCGACTTTAACCCCTTTAAGCCCCCTAACGCCGACGTGTTGGCCCCCCACGCCCCAGCCCAATCAACGTTGTCGTCATCATCATGCGTGCATGTGCATGGCACTTTGCTAATTAAAAGTGTAGCCTAGCGTTGGGCCAAATAAATCGATGGCCGGGTAATTAAATTGCATGACAAGGGCTGGAAGGGGTTCAAGGGTTGGAGGGCTCAAAGGTCGGAGGGGGTGCCATGCATTTGTTATTGTAATTAGACAGGAGCAGCGGCGAAACAAAATGGCGGCAGAGGCCACTGTGGCGGATGAAATGTAAATCACTCATACGCCCCATGGGCGCGGTGCAGATTTAATACAACTTAGAACCGGGAAAAGGCAGCCAGGGCAGACCAAATGCAATTATACCTATTAAACTTGATCAAAAACGTAATTTCAGAATGCCGGAAACTATGTTGGAGCGAATAGCCACTAGGAATATTTTTTAAATTGCTAATTGGCTTAACTACTAGTTTTATATTTTTCTAATCATTTTAAAATATATTTATGATTTATTTATTATTGGTTTTTTTATATATTTATATTTTTTAAATTTTGTCAGGACTAATACCCTTCTAAACTTGTGCTACCCCTTTCAAAAATCCCCACTACCCACCTGCCATCAATCATTCGAGCACAAATATCCACCCTCAGGTAAACACAAACAAGAAATCAACAAGCAATCAAAATAAGCAAACAAAAAAAGATGAAAACCAAAGAAGCCGCAAAATGTTTTTATTTTGGTGTTGGAGCGACTTACTGGCTGGATTTCAAAGCTTTCAAGGGCTTAGCCTTTTTTGGCCAAGAAGTGAAGTGGAAAGAGAGGCTTATGGGGAAGCCACCTTGAGTTAAGAATAATCCCAAAAAGACTTGGAAAATATACTTTTGAGGCCAAATCGTAGTTGAATATTAGAATTGCTAACAAAATAAAAATAGAGGTGATTATAATATAAAAAGCCTATAAATTGTACTACAAAAATTAGAGAAATTGCTCATCTTTTGCCTGGTTTGACAACTTGATGGAATATTTGAACCGGGTTTTCCTTTAAATAAATATATCCACCATCATATGATCAACTATTGGCAAACGTGCGTGTGTGTGTTTGTATCTGTGTCTTGGGCTGCGTTTCAGCGTGTGAGTGTGTGTGCTTTCATTACCCCCAAATTGATTTATGACGCCTGTGCAACGGTAAATTGCCGGGGATTTGCCATCTAGGATTTCAGGTTATTTGTCAACAGGATTTGATTTTAAATGCCGCCACACCCACACGGAAATGTTTTGCCCCTCAAGTGTTGACACTTCCATTTGTCGCACTTTCGGTGGAGATTAAGATGAATGCTCGTCGGGTTTGGGTTGGGGAGTTATTGTGGGATTATCAATCAATTGGGTCAAAGGCGCCGCTCTGATTATAATGGTTTTGCTTTGGGGGCAAAGCGTTATTCTTCTTTCAAATTGAGTAAATATTATAAAATCCTTACATTATTGTAAAAACCTAGTAAAAATGGTTATTTAGCCTTAAATCATTTTAGGAACCTAGTTAATAATAACATTATAGTTTTTCTAAGTATCAGGCTAGCACCTGGGACTTAATTTTCGGTCGACCAAATGCAATTTTTCCAGGAAAAAACTCCTTCTTCTACTTCTTCAGCAAATTACTCGCTTTAATGATCGATTATCCATGGCCAATCTCCCAACTTTTCCGGCAACACCCACTTTTCGCGCGGGAAAGCGGGAAAACACCACGAAAAGTGTCAAGGAATTGCGCAACAATGAACTGCACTTGCTGGCAGATAAACACAAAAGTGTTTTCCCATCGTGGGGCCGCTCCTTGAGACTTCATTTTTTAAGAAAGTCGAGTGGAAGATATTGTCCTGGCGCAGTGGAGTGTGTTCCCAGGACATGTGTAAGCCGCTCCGTCTCCGTTTGTATGGCATAATACGTATAATATATATGTGTATCTGCCGTGGTTCGGGGACGTCGGCGGTTTATTTGTATGTGCCGAAATGATTTACGCTTTGTTTGTCAACTTAAAAAGCAAACCCCCACCACGAAATCACACATACGCCGCGTTGTCATAGACAGGGCAGGGAAACTCGGCAAGGCGACGGCTCAAGAAGCCCGAAATGCTTTTAATTGAATCCGGGGCGACGCAAAAAATGGCAGGAGTTCCGGACAAAAAGGCCTTGGCAACACTTGACAATGACTGGCTGAAACAAGTTAATTAAAAGAAAACTGCGGCGCAAACGATATAAATCTTGGGGCGCCAAAGACGCACATGTGAAGGGCTTTCTTTTGAGAGGGTGGGGGGTCGACAGACTAAATCAGTTTAAATTGTAATTAATTCTTTATTTCGAAAGGTGAAAGGAGACCTGAATGGAATTTAAATAAGAAAGTGTTGGGAACGAAAAACAGCTAGAGATTGCCGAGGGAAATAGAAAATCACCGGGAGACTAATCACCATTTCTTAAATTATAATATTTAAAAATGTTTAAAGTTCCTATTTAAATGCGAAATATATGTATTAATATTACCTTCTTCATTTATTATTCATAACACTTTAATTAATATCTAAATAACCAATGGAATAACTAAACCAGGAACATGTGTTGTTTTATAAAAGTAGTAGTAGTTGAGTAACAAAATGTCTAAAACTTGGAAGACTGTTCATTTATTTAACCTAAATTATTACAAATATTTGAAGATCTTTGTAGATAATTAAGCACTTATTTAGCATTTTTACGGCTCATATATTGGAATCACAGAGTTAGGAAAATGTTTTCCATCATAAATAGTATTCCCCACCTTTGACACCATTCTTGTTTTATGGCCAACACATTTACGATGTGACAATGCCCCAAAAAAACTGCGAAAGAAGCAGAAACCGAAAACATGTTTATTGATTTGCATGTCTGGCAGACATTAGGCAAAGGAAAACCTCCTAAACTTGTTTGTTTCCCTTCTCCCCATTTGTTTTTCCAGGGAAGAGCTTCACGCTAACCATCACCGTGTCAACGAATCCACCGCACATAGCCACCTACAACAAGGCGATCAAAGTGACTGTCGATGGGCCACGCGAACCCCGTTCCAAGACAAGTAAGTATGCCCTATGGAGCCGGATTAGGATGGGAGCCCAGCCCCCATTCGTTTCCAAGACCCCACTCCTTTTCGGGTATTTCATTTGCAGGACAATGCATAACAATTTATTAGTTGCCAAATAGATAAATTGCTCTGCAGCAGCAGGCAGTTCTCAGATGTTTTCAGAGATGCAGACGAGATAGAGATGGTTGAATGGGCAGGATTTTGGGGTCCAGGCATTCGCATTTCATTAACGTCAGTGATGAGAGGGTCTTTTTTTAGGTCTTTTACTTTATAATAGTGAAAATACCCATAAAATATATGAAAAAGAGAAGGGTGTAGTGAGGATTTTTTATGTTATGCCAAAACTTGTATAAATATTTCAATTAAATAATTTTATTTCATCTTAAGTTGATCAGAATACTAAATTATTATATTGTTTTTTTATTTATTACTGGGAAAGCATAGTTCAGCATTCTATAAAAATTGTTGTATGTTTTAATAATCGCAAATCTATCAAAGTATTTTTATGAATCTATTTTTTACCCAACTAGCTCATCGCTGAAAAGGAAGTTTAAGGAGCACTTGTAAAATACTACCATTTCCCTCTTTGAGTCCTTCCTCGAAACTTTGCCGATGCAGCAAGGACACTTCCTTGCTAATACCTCACTTCATTTCACTCCAGAATGCCGAATATCTTGAAGGAATATTCATTAGACAGCTCTATCACACACTCTGCCAGTCCGTTACATATTTATAAGGATGCAAATATTTTACTTTGCATATGTTCCCTGGATTCAGACGGGTGGCAAAAGTTTTGCTGGTCTGTGTAATCTGGTTTCAGTCCGAATTCAAATCCATGAAATGATTTATACGCCCGAATGCCAGACAGAGTCCAAAAATGGGTTTGGTACTGAGAAGGGGTTGCATACACACAGGGCTTTAAGCTGCAGACAAAAGGTTATTATTTTATAATGAATACAAGCTGGCAGATAACTGCTGCAACCGCCGAAGGATTTTAGTGCGGACTAGAAATTTAGCTGAAAGTGTCGCCGGTTGGCAGAAAGTTTTTGGCCCATTGTCATTTCACTTTCACATACACACAAAATCCATTGTCGATAGTTCTCCTTTTATGTGGGGTCTTGGAAATTTTTGGGCGAAGTCCCGTCTTGACATCCCAAGCGAATCGAAAGCAACAAAATGTCACTCATCAAGTGTTTGCCATTTAAGTTTTCACTCAGACAAAGAAACACGCATACAGTCATGTACAAGAACACACATACATAGTACAGTGGTCGCTCGCGAATTGAGAACTATATTGGTTATATTATATATATATAAACAAATGTTTGTGCTTTAATTATAAAGAAGTTCCTAATTATGATATTAATTTTAAATAAATTAAAGTATTAAACTTTGTACAAGCCACATAATTTGCAATCGACCACTGTTCTAGTGCAATAAAACCATTTAGTTAAGGACAGAAAATTATAACTGAAAAAAACTTAGTGTTATCCCTTTTAGGACAGCAACAGCAGTTCCACTTCGCCTTTGGCCAAAGACCGTTCCACTTTTCCACGGATCCCCTTTCCGGCTTCCGGATGCCGCCCATTGGCAATTGTCAGAGTAAGTATACCATAGTCCCCGAAAAGCATGCTATATATTTTATTCTCCTCGAATCATTTTCCATCGTTAAATTTTTGGTGTGTCGCGAGATTAATCCTTACAGCCAAATATGGGATGTACTTACAAATGTTTAATGAAATATTTAAGACTACTTAAAATTAACTGCTATTCTTAGAACTCCCTTTCTTGCTTATACTATATTTTTTATAGTTATTTTATAACTGCTTCCGAAAAAAGCTTGTACTTAATTAAAGGCGAAAATCATAATCAGTCTAAGTCTATAATAATTTTTTAAGTTTCTATTCCCAAGGCTAGGCAAGAAATTAATTAAATATTTCACAGTTTTATTGGCCAACGTGAATTCAAACAAATACACATATCGCCTGTTAATGAGTAGGAAAAAAAAACAACTTTAAAAACTTGCGTTGGTTGTTTTCGTGTTATTGCCGTTGGACAACCATTTGAATGTGGTAAAATTGCGGGTCACCTTGCCATATAGGCTTTTTTTCTGGGCTAAGTGGGTTCGTTGTTATTGTTGCTGTTAAACTGTTGGCCACTTTATTTAACCGAAGTTTACTATACAAACAAATAAACGTTGGTCAAACACAAGCAGACACACACACAAAAAAGTCAAAGCCTAAAAAAACGCTGTTAAATCAGAGCTTCGCATTCAAATTATGATTTAAATGAAAAACTACGCAGTCAAATAAATTTAATGCATTTAACCAAGCGAATATAAACCGATTTTGACAGCTCGAATGCTAAGCAAGCCGAGGCAGTGTTTTAAAATGATTCGAAGGTTTTAGTACCCATTAAAAGTAATAATATTTTATATAGAATATATATATTTTTGTTGTCTGCAACTGGCAATTTAAATTTCTTTATGTATTTTACGTCTTGTTTTTAATAGTTTTCCTATATATCCAAAGCTACTTTTTGCTTCCAAAAAAACCATACTTTTTCTATTCTGTACTTTATCAACCCCATTCACTACTCATTTTCACCCCATCTCCATTGATAGAATATTTATAACAAAATCAATAATTAATGTTGTGGGAGACAAATTTTTCTTGCTGTTTTTGCTCGTGTGCTCGCGTAGGTGAAATAAATTTAATTGTACATTTTAAAATGCATTTATATTAAATTTGATGTTTCAATTTAAATTGACAATTAATTGCATTACAACAACATCAGCAACAAAAGCCGGACTAGACTTTGTCCCCTTTCCCAAAAACTAGCTGCCTGGGGCTAAAAAAAATTCTGCAACGGCTACAAATGTGATTTTCTCTTTAGAGCTTGATGCCATTAAAAAAGCTGAATTTAATAAAATTAACATATTAACGAGGTTAAAGTAGAAAAAAGCAAAGACAAAGAGTTGGTCATGGAAACGTTAGTGTGCCATATTCAAGCATATATTCGATGTGTGTATAATGCCAAATATCCACTGAAGTGAAAGCAATTATGAAAGAATTTGGCTCAAGCGCGGAAAAATCGTTTAAAATTCTCAACTGATTTTCTTAATCTTAAATGAATACGTTTTATATGCGTGTCATCCCACTGAAGTAATTTTAAATGCACTTAAAATTATTTGACTATAATAGTTTTGACAGACATACGGTAACAAGTTCAATGGGATTTAAAGTCCCTTGTTTGATTTAATTTAAGCGCCCCCTCAAGTGTTTTGCCAATTTATTATTTGTAGCATTTGCCACTTATATTTGATTACCGCCCATTACCAAAGTGATTCCGGTGAACTTAAATAAAAACTCACCGTAAATATAAAATGCAACTCAATCAATGCGCAAATTGCCTGCCAATTTGAACGTCTCCTTCGCCACTCAAACTCATATATGCGCCCATTTTGTGTCAATATTTTACCGTCTAGCCCAGTGCACAAATCAAAATGCAAATTGCACGATTTACAGGATTCTGAAAAGGCAATCCACATTATATAACACACATAAATATGTACATGTACATATATATGTGGGGACACAGCACACAAGTAAATAATGATTACTGAAAGCGTCTGTTGATACTGATTACCCATAAATTAATTGTAAATATGCAAAAAGCAAAGTATCCTGAATTATTTATTAACAAATTTTATTGACAGTCGCTGCTTGACTTAATTACTGGCATATATTTTATTAATTTCGCAAAAAAATATCATGAAACCCAACCGGAAAAGTCAAGAGCAAGGGAGTTGGGTACATTTTTAAAGGAACTAAGCGACTATTAAGAGTTTAAGGAAATAGGAAAACATGTTTCACATTTTTAAATACTATTTTTATAAAAGGAAGATTTGTAATTCGATTAATTACAACTATTATTTATAACACTTTGATATCTTTTTTAAAAGTGCTGCTGAAATAAATATGAAAATATTGTATTTGCACTCGAGAAAAAAACACTTAGTTTGCGTAAACATTTTTCATTAAAAGAAGATTTAGTTTTCTAAATTTTTGGAATTATCTACTCCGATTTCTATACTTTTTTGTCCTCAAAATGAGCGACTTAATAACATATTTGCAATTATTTTGCCCCAGCCCATTGGAAACCCCAAAATGGTCCGGTGTCCGGTGCCTTGTTAATAATTCAGGGCCCGAAAATATGCGCAAATAAAGTCAATCAGTGTGACAACAAACAGGCAGGACTAACCACTCTTACAGACACAGACACACAGATACACGGCACACAGATACACGCACACTGGCGCAAATAATGACAGACAGGACACCGTGCAGAGTAGCCCACATCCCACAGAGAAAATTGTACACAAAAAGCCACGTAATTAATGGAGGTAGAAACATTTAAGCCAATAGCATTAATAAAGCCACCACAAAATCAATATCCGGCTACGAAAACGCGCCCGTCGCCTATAAAAACTAATTAATAATTTCCGAATGGGCTATTAATTAAGCCTAATTATCTGTGCATGGGTCCCGGCGACCCGCAAAATGTTGACTCTTCTTTCCTTCCCCGGCTTCTGTTTTTGGCCCCGGCCCCCACGAAATGGCCAAACTGAACTGAATTTTCGGCAGGCCTAGGTCCATTCCATTGATTTGTTTGTCGTTTATTTTCCTTTTTTTACTTCCTGTCTCCGCAAAATGGCGGCAAAGGTCCCGCATATTGTGGGAAAATCCGGGGGGTGGAGAAGTGGGTGACCTCCAATTAGCGGCCCACATGGGTCATCAATTTGGCTGGAGATATAGCTAATCTCTAATTATCTTGTATTTATTTTTCATGATTTTTCAGTAACTTGATTCGAATATTTTATTTTTACAAGATCTGTATGCATTCTAAAGGGTATGCAAGCCTTTTCAAATACTCTTATATGCCCCACATTTTTATTTATTTTATTTATGCTGCTTACTGTTCTGATACGTATTCTAATACATTTTATAAATGTCTTTCAATTTTCAGGCGCCAGCAACACGCACTGGGGATATGGATCGGCAGCCTCTGCGTATTCGCCGTATTTGGCCAGTAGCGGATTATCGTCCTGCACCACGCCCACTTCCGCCCAGTTCAACAATCCGGCCTTGGGATTCACCTGCTCCTCCAATGATCAGAGCAACAACCAGGACTTCGGAGGAGCTACCAATCGCGACTGCGTTCCGAGTAAGTCTTGGTCTTTTTAAGTTGACCGAGTGTAAAAATGCAAATATTGTTCAAAAAATAAATTTGCCAAACATTTTTCGAAAAAAAAATGATACCAGCCATTACAAAAATTGCGAAAATTGATTTAAAAAAAAATTTCCCAAAAAGTGGTGGGGATCGATAGCTTTGGTTGCTCATAACAGTCGGTCTTTTTGTTGTGCGCCTAGATTTCACTAAATTACGACTGAAAAACGGCTTTAAAAAAACGTACTTTTCGTCAAAAAATGCTACTTCCTATTTTTGCCCAAAAAATATCAGTTTTTTCGTCGACAAAATGCGAAATGGAGCCAGAATAAGGAATGTCATACCTCGTTGAGCTCGTAATTAAATTCTCAATCGATTGGCATTTAAATCTAAAAACTTTAATTTTTGGCCACTTTTTGCAAAAATGGATGATGTAACCCCTTATAAAAAATGCGAAAATTAGTCCAAAAATAAGTTTCCCTAAAAGTGATAAGGATCGTTAGCCTAGATTGTAAGCTGCTCAAAACAGTCGGTCTTTTTGTTGTGCGCCTAGATTTGACTAAATTACGACTTAAAAACGGCTTAAAATAAACTTTTTTTCGTCAAAAAAATGAAGGGCTTCGTAACATTTTTTCAGTCAGACACCAGGCAAACAGAAATCATAGCAAGTGGCTGCTGGTACTTTTAGCAAGTGAACTTAAATAACTGTTCAATTTCAAGATGGTGGCCCTTTACATATTTCCCCTCCACCCACTGACCAATAGGAATTGATCACCATGGGAAAGAACCGTTAGTTGTAATCCAAACGCAGACCAGAGATGAGCAACCATGGCCGTGTCACCAGCTTGTCACGAGCTTGTCACGATCTTGTCACGCAGTAACAGTTAAGTCCTATGTATTTTCTTAGACCGTGGCGAAAGGAAGAAATCACTAGGGCATCTCTAAGTAAACTTGAATTAAGCTAATCAGCTGATCGTTTTACACCTACTAAACGTTTATGTTCGCCTGGTGTCTGAAATTAAGAAACCAAGCAATTTGACCAATTTCTCGACGAGCAAATGAGGTATTTTGGTTTTATGATTTCTATAAATTGCCATTTCAATGAGGTCTGAAATTTAATATCTTGATCTTTGACACCAGGCCAACATAATCTGTAGTAGGTGGCTGCTGGGCGTAAATATTATTTTAATGGAAGGACACCGTTAGTTTAGTGTAAGCCGACTAGGGGTGGGCTCTCGCTTGGTCGGCAACAAGAGGCCTTCGATTTTTTGAAGTGGCACACCTCTAGTCAAGCCTTAAAAACTAATCGTTGGCCACCTACGAATTTTCCTGTTCACCTGGTGCTTGAAATTGAAAAATCGCTAATTTACTTTAACATATTGAATGGCTTCGTAACATTTTTTCAGTCAAAGTGCTGGATTTGTGGCTCTCAGACACCAGGCAAACAGAAAACTTAGCAAGTGACAGCTGGTAGCCAAAAGTGAACTTAAACAGCTGTTTATTTTCAAGATGGCGGCCCTTTACATATTTCCCCTCCCACTACTGACCAATAGGAATTGATCTCCATTGGAAGGAACCGTTAGCTGTGAGCAAAACGCAGACCAGAGATGAGCAACCATGGCCGTGTCAGGAGCATGTCACGGGCTTGTCGCGATCTTGTCACGAAATAACAATTAAATCCTATGTATTTGCTTAGGCCGTGCCAAAAGGAAGAAATCACTGGGGCATCTCTAAGTAAACTTGAATTAAGCTAATCAGCTGATCGTTTTACACCTACTAAGCGTTTATGTTCGCCTGGTGTCTGAAATTAAGAAACCAAGCAATTCGACCATTTTCTCGACGAATTTTGGACTTCTGATTTCTATTATTGACATTTCAATTAAGTCTAAAGTGTAGTTTCTTGGTCTCAGACACCAGGCAAACAGAAAACCTAGCAAGTGGCAGCTGGTAGCCAAAAGGGAACTTAAACAGCTGTTAATTTTCAAGATGGCGGCCGTTTACATATTTCCCCTTCCCCCACTGACCAATAGGAATTGATCTGCATGGGAAAGAACCGTTAGCTGTGAGCCAAACGCAGATCAGAGATGAGCAACCATGGCCGTGTCATTAGCTTGTCACGATCTTGTAACGAGCTTGTCACGATATGCACGAAGTAACAGTTACGTCCTATGTATTTGCTTAGGCCGTGCCAAAAGGAAGAAATCACTAGGGCATCTCTAATTAAGCTTGGAATAAGCTAATCAGCTGATCGTTTTACACCTGCTAAACGTTTATGTTCTCCTGGTGTCTGAAATTAAGAAGTCAAGAAATCTGACCATTTTCTCGACAAGCAAAAATAACGTATTTTTCGTAAAAAAAAATACTCTATTTTTGCACAAAAAAATAAGTATTTTGGTTGTCAAATTGCGAAATGAGGTCAGAATTAGGAATGTGATACCTCGTTGAGCTCGTAATTAAATTCTTAATCGATTGGCATTTAAATCTTCAAACTTTAATTTTTGAAAAATTTTCGAAAAAAATAGATGATACAACCCCTTACAAAAAATGCGAAAATGGGTCAAAAACTAAATTTCCCGATTTGTGATATTGATCGATAGCCCTGGTTGTTAGCTGCTCATAACAGTCGGTCTTTTTGCTGTGCGCCCCGATTTGACTAAATTACGACACAAAAACGGCCTAAAAATAACGCATTTTTCGTCAAAAAATAAGGTTCCCTTTTTTTGCACAAAAAAATCAGTATTTTGGTCGTCAAAGTGCGAAATGAAGTCAGATTATGGAATGTGATACCTCGTTGAGCTCGTAATTAAATTCCCAATCGATTGGCATTTAAATCTTCAAACTTTAATTTTTTGAAAATTTTCGAAAAAAATAGATGATACAACCCCTTACAAAAAATGCGAAAATGGGTCAAAAAATAAATTTCCCGATTTGTGATATTGATCGATAGCCCTGGTTGTTAGCTGCTCATAACAGTCGGTCTTTTTGTTATGCGCTCCGATTTGACTAAATTACGACATAAAAAGGGCCTGAAAATAATCAATTTTTCGTCAAAAAATAAGGTTTCCTATTTTTGCACAAAAAAAATCAGTATTTTGGTCGACAAATTGCGAAATGAAGTCAGATTAAGGAATGTGATACCTCGTTGAGATCGTAATTAAATTCCCAATCGATTGGCATTAAAATCTTTAAACTTTAATTTTTGAAAAATTTTCGAAAAAAATAGACGAAAAAAATGGGTCAAAAAAAAAATTTCCCGATAAGTGATAGGAATCGATAGCCTTGGTTGTAAGCTGCTTATAACAGTCGGTCTTTTTGTTGTGCGCTCCGAATTGACTTAATTACAACATTAAAACGGCTTAAAAATAAGGTTTATTATTATTATAACGTATTTTCTTCCAAAATATTATGGTCTTTATTTTTGAGAAAAAAAAGTTTTTTGGTCGACAAATTGTGAAATGGGGCCAGAATAGGGAATGTCATGACTCGTTAAACTCGTAACTAAATTCCCAATCGTTTGGCACTTAAACCGGGAAACTTAAATATTTGACAAAATCATTATGTAACACCTTATGAAAAAGTATAAGCTGACGAACAATACATAAATAAACATATTCCTTACATAAAAATGTATCCTACTGATACAGTGGTATTTATCGACCCAATCCACCCTTCTTTTTTTTCAGTGCTCCCCGACTCGACGGCCAGCGATCTCGACCAGCACCTGAGCAGCCTGGTGGGCTCGACCAGCGGCCAGATGACGCACCACAGCCTGCTGGGCGCCGGCGGCCAGACCTCGATCTCCTCCACGGTGAACGGGGCGAGCGGCGGCGGCAGCGGCGGGGCAGGGGCCGCCGGCGGAGGAGCGGGCAGCGGCGGTGGCGCCGGCGGCGGCGGTGCGGGCGGCAACTCCATCCTGGTGCCGCGCTACCACACGAACGCCAGCAACGAGTACAACGTCCACTCCAGCCAGAATGGACCGCGCAGCCTGTCCGACAGCTCCCAGGCGGAATCGCCCGTGCAGGAGGACCTGCTGACCACCAACACCCCGAATCTGGGCAGCACGGCGGGCGGTGGGGGGGCGGCCAACGGTGGTGCGGCCTCGAATGCGGGCAGTGGGGCGGCGGGCAGCAGTGGCGCCGGCGGTGCCGCCTCGGCGGTGGGCAATCCCGCGATGCTGGGTGCCAACCAGAACTTCCCCGGGATCGTTAACCAGGCCCAGCACTCGGCTGCCTCCGCCTATGGCGGCGGTACCGGTGTGGTGGGCGGTGGGCATGGCAGTGCCGCCGCCGCTGCCGCCGGATGCAATGGCTCCCTGTATCCCGTGCTCCCGGCCAGCCTGCTCTACTCCCAACTCTATACCGCCGCCAACCAGTCCGCCCACGGCTTCCACTCGCACACCCTGCCCGCCCACGCCTCCCCCAACTCCTCGGTGCACGGGGAGCTGCAGAGCGTGATGGACCACATCAGCAACGTGGGCGTTCGGCAGCAGCACAACATCATGGCCGGCGGGGGCGTGACCCACCCGGGCGATCTCACGCTGATCGGCAACTGCGGGGCCTCGGTGCGGAACATCGAGGACGGGAATAGCAATCGGCAGGTGGCCGCCTTAGCTGCCCATCGCGGTCACCACAACCCCACCGACAACGGGGGCAGCGTTTGGAGGCCCTATTGAGGTCAGGTTCTGTGGTGCGGCTCGGCGGTTCTATAGTGCGAGGGGGGTGGGCCGCAGCACGAGGCGGGGGTGGGGGTAGGAATGGGGTCGGGAATGGGGGCGGGCATGGGGCTGGGCATGGGCGGGGGCATGAACTGCTTCGGGGGATTCTAATCTGTACATAGAAAGTGGTGGGGGTCAAGGGGCGAGTTCCAGTCGGAGATTACCGATTTCCATTCTGCTAATAGTTTAAAAATGTTAAAGTTATCGATTTTTTTTAAAGTACTTTCAAGAAGTATCTGTATCTGCTGATCCACTTAACTATTTTTTGCTGCGTAGCAACAGTTCAAAAAATTATTGGTTCAATTCAAAAGTTATTGACTTGATAAAGAAAGAATGTCGATTAATAATTTTCACACTATCGCAAAAATTATTAATTTTTGATTTTAAACCTATTTCAATTATTTTAAAATTATGGACTAAAAATAATCTATTTCTTAAAAAGAGATTATCAACAAAATCGATTACAGATTTCAGGATGCGTGAATGTAAAAGATTCCATTTCGAAAATATAAATATTCTTTTATTAAACGCAAAATCAATCGGTAATCGATAACTGAGAATCGTCATGGTAAGAGCCGCATTTTAAAAATGATTGTATATACCTGGGGGATAACAGACATCTTTGGAGGATAAAACGAATTGGCTTGACCTTGTCCAAGATTAAAATGTTTTATTTTTACAATCTGATGAAAATATTTATCCTGTATATAGCGTTGGCGGACGTCAAATATCTCATATCCCCTAATAGGCATCTAAAGCATTGTTTTTAAATCTCTAGAAGTTTGTGAATGAGTGTTTTTTTTCATAACTTTATGACCATATAAACGAAACCGAAAACGATCAACTATTAGTAGAATTTGTTGGAGTGCTGCAAAGCCCTCCATATAGCATCTAGTTAATTGAAGAGCCAAGAAAATATAAACTAGAGCTTAAGACAGAAATACTTAGCAAATTTTGAGGGGACAAAGGAAGGCCGTTTTGAACATTTTTCGTGGATTTTAAAGACATAAAAAACACAAGAAAAAAAAATGAATTTTAAACAGTATTGGGTCTGTGTCGAGTTACTTTTTTTTGTATTTTTTCAGGCCCGCGGTAAGCCCGAGCCATAAAGCTAGTCATATTAGCGATAAGTAATTACCGAAATACTATACCGAAAACCAAAAACCAAAAAACCAAAGAAAATATATAGAAACTTTAAACTAGTCGTAAACATTGTGAAGCCAAAGTCAAGTTGATTTTTAGTGATTTTTCTTGTTTTTGTGTAAGATATGAGTGTTGGGAACGGAAGGAGGGTACTATTCCCGGGGGGAAAGGGGTTCTTGGGAGTTTAGGGACCTATTTAATTGGGCGGGTCGTAGAGCCGATGTATGTCTGAGTTCCTAAGCCGTAATCCATGTTCGTGAATTTGTTTACTGTTCATTTCATGTGCTTCGATCTGCGTGTCCTTTAAATGTGTATAAACATGTGCAATCTAAGCTAACCGAAAACAAATATATAACTATAAATATGCATATAACGAGATATCTGTATACTAAAGGTAGACCGCACACCCGCAACCGCAATCTATGACACTTGAAATCTTATATTGTAATTCTTTTTTTTGTTAGCTCATAAGTGGTAAAATCAGCATCAAATTAAATTCCCAAAAAACACTATACTACGCGAACGGTAAATAGAGTTAAGGAATCGTTTAGAAATGTCCAAAATAGCACATTCTTTAAACATATATATAAATATACACGCTAACTTACAGAATCGAAGTAAAATTGTAATTGATGTATACCACAGGAAATGGAAAATCCATAAAGAATTAACGAAACTATGTGTATAATTTAGCCAAGATCCCCGCATATTTAAATATATAGAAATTAAACCCACATTTTGTGCAATAAAAAACCAACAAATGAGAGTTCTTTGTAATAAAATAAATACATGTAATTAAAACACTTTATTTGAGGAACAAAAAACCTAAAACGAAAAAAGTAAAACCAAAAAGATCTAAATAAAACTTAAATTCAACAATTATATTAAATAAAATTATGAAAATTAATAACAAATTTTGGAAATGGTCTATTTACTTAGGGAGGTATTTTCAGGGATCTATCTGTACTTTACAAATATTTTGTTCTAATTTAGTTGGGTATGGAAATGCTATTATTTTTCCAAGTTTTAAAATGCCACAGAAATTTTAAAACCTTTAAAGAAACTAAATCTTTTTTATATTTCACAAATTAAGTAATTTCTTTCCCCCTTTTTTAAGTTAAAAAAATCCCATCAGACAGTCTCTTTTTCAGATTTTCTCCTATTTCTCCTCAGCAGCCGTTTTACGACACCGCCGGGGCCAATTGGCCGGATCGAAAACTTATGACCTGGCCATGATATTACCACTGCCCAACCTCCCATCCCCGTCCCTTTCGCTCCTCGCCGTCTCTTTCTAATGCCATCTCCGTGTGGTTTGAATTTGGCGGGCAACGTAATTTTCTGCTCAATTTATTTCACATTGTGGCATCCAATTAAGCTGCAAACCGAGCAGTCCACCATCCGGAACCGGGCGAAATCGGAGGAGTCCATCCGGATCTCACCTGCCCGCACGTATGTGGCCATAAAAATACAGTCGGGCTACAAGACTTCGTGACGCGAAGCGTAACAAAAACGGCGAGGAGGCGGGATAACCGCAAAAAGGTAGCCAACAGGGGGTTAAACCGGGGCTGGGATTAAGCACCGGATAAATAAGAGATCGATATAAGGACTAGCGATAAAGGGATGGGGTAGAACAGGAATACAGGAAAGTGCTGGAAAAAACTTTTTAATTATTTCCATGCCGAAGATGTTTCGCATAACAAATTAGCTCGCCGTCAAGTATTCAGGCGGGTATGTGAGTGTAAATAATTAAAAATTCTACCCATTACTTGCGAGGCTTGGTAAAATTTCAAACAGACGCCAAGACACACAGACGCTCATACCCACATGAGGTCCTTTGAAGGGCACTGGGAAAAATACATCGAAAGAATAGAAACATTGAAATAGAGGCACTTAAATATGTTGCTATAATTTTAAGACATAACATTATGCTAAACAAAATTATATAATATCAATAGCAAGAAAAAGTTGAAGAAAAATATGTAGTTAAGGTAAAGTCTTTGTGGTCAACGATTGTATCAACAAGTTTTGTAGTATGAATTCTTAATTTACTCAAAATAGAGATGTAAGCTTAACTAAAACAAGTTGCTCATTTTTTACTTTTGAACCTCACTTTTTTTCAGTGCAACTAAGCTCCATAAAGAGCTAGAGGAAACCACTTGAGACGCTGATTTAGCCTCTCAACGGGCATTCTTTTGCCCCACCCAAAACCCGCACCGCCCAGCCACCCAAACACCCAACCTCCCATCAGATACCACCCATTCCAATTGGAGCGTGTGCCGCCTTGCATATTAACACGTTTCATATGAGCAAATCCCTTGGCGACCATCACCAAACGGGTTAAGGCGTTAAGGGGTTAAGGGTGTGGGTGTGGGTGCGACTCGAGATGAGCCAAGATTCCGAGTTGAGTGGAAAGTGGCAAGTGGCAAGTGGCAAACTGGAGTGGAAGTTGAGTGGAGTGCTCGCAGTTGCCCCCATTTGTTGCATGTTCCCCAGGTCTTGCAAATAAAATTCATTTTTCTTATTAGCCATTTGCTAGCGCTTTCAGCCGGGTCTTAATTAAGGTGATAAACAAGCAAACCGAATTAGACGGCTCACAATGAGACGCCGGATGAGTTGAAATGGGTTGGGATGAGTTGCGTTAAGGTAGTCATCATAAAAGTTTAAAAGTGCCGAGCGAAAAGCCAGAGGAGCGGATCAAGGAGTTGAGAACAAATCCTTCTTGAAAACCAAGCTAAAATTGGCTTTTGGAGTTGCGCTTCCTTGATATCGGAATACGATTGTTCAAGTTATGGGCCACGGATTAAAGTTTTGGGTCACCTTTTTGCAAGATATTAGGTACTTAAAAGGTATGGTATTAAAAAAGGTTAAGCAATTATCTATCATTTAAATGAAAATGAAAATAATAAGAGATATGTGTTCCAAACAATTTTTGATTTTGGGGATCCTATAGTTTACTTTATAGACAGTTTCGGTCACCTCCTCAAAAACCTAAAGATAATTCCAATTTTCCGTATCTCAACTCAATAACTCTAGAGTCCGCCCTCGACGAATTAAAAATGTTCACTTGTTCGTCTTCTTTTATTGGGCGACTCATAATGGAAATCATCTTTTGCGCTCGCTTCATTTGCTCCGCATGTCGAGACTTTCACGCAACTTTCTCCGACCCTTTCTCCCGCCCTTTCTCCAGTCCCCCCGCCTCAATTATGTATGAGTGTGAGCCCCTGCACATGGGTGTATATTTGATTACGATGCCAATTAGAGAATATGAGAGTAATAAGCGGGTATGGGAACCTTTTTATTCCCTTTTCTTGTACCTTGAAACCGGAAGGAAGCCGCCTTAATTGTCATGGCAAGGAAACTTTCTAATTATGAAATGCGTTGAATTTTCCAACCGACAAAAGTTGGAAAACGCGCCGCCCTGCTCTCCAGCCCTCCACTTTTCCATTTTCTGACCATTCAAATAATGCAGTGATTTCTGAGGTCGGCAGAGAATTATGCAGAAATGGATGGGGCCACAAAAACCCATCGGAAAACCCATTCGGACCTAAAACGCCTTTGCAAATCTGTTGCTGTTACTCGTGCAAATATTTAACGGCTGCTACATTTTTGCACCTTTTGGCACACGGACACACGGGGCGTATGAAAACATTCTTCGGTGCGGTTTTCCCATTGTTGTTTCCCATTTCCATTTTTCGTTTTTTGTTTTGTTTTGCTTGCTCTGCCCTTGCTTTTGTTTTGTTTGTTTTCCGCATTTTCCGCTTTTCCGCTGGCGTTGCACATTTTTGGCATTCGCGCTTTGACAGGCGAAAAACGCGGCGATCCCCCCGTTTTCGGCAT